CGACTCGCCCATATTCGACAGTATTGTCGGAATTCTGAAGTCGATAACTAATCGCTTCTTCCTAACCCCATTCTGGTCTATGCCTTTTTTATCTACAACCCACATAGGGTTGTTATATGGGGATCTGGATGGCCGTATTACGCCGTCCGCTAGAAGTTGTTTAACCTCTGCATTGACGAATTCGGTTACACCCATGGGGTGCGGTTCCCACCGGTTCCCCATCAGTTTTTATTGTTGATATAGTGTTAATGTTAAATGGAAGTGCTTCGTCTGGGTCAGCGAAGGCTTTTTGATTTTTAAGAATCATTTTATCAAAGGTGGCCTTAATATCCCTAGTAAATCGGATTTTTTCATCTCCGTTGTTTGTGTGAATAATGTTTCCAGTAAAATCGAGTTTCGCATTCGCTTGTTTAAGCAAGTCGACACCGATAATACCGTCGAATTCTTTAAGGTTATTTAGAATAAAAAAGGGGTTTTTTTATTTTAAACACCGAAACTAGGCACTTTTTATCTATTTTGGTGAAGCCATGGATTGACTTCACTGTAAAGGGTTTCTCCGCTGACACGATGCCTTTCAGCCCCGGAATTGGAGTAATGTAATTTTTGAGGTTTTATTTCTCTTTCTGCTACCGAACGTGTAATGTAGGGGAGCAGGGATTTAAATCTAAATAAATACACGAATCTTCTTCATCAAGATCGTCTTCTATTTCAGTGGCACAGGCTTGAGCAACGGTGTCATAATCTTCGTTGTCAGATTTCTCTTCTGGAATGAAGTTTATCTTTTGTTTAGTTGACTGCCTAGCTACCTACCTTCTAGAGAACCTCCATTGTCGACCTCCTTTGGCTCTGGTGCTGGTTGACCCTGATAAGTTCCCGAGTTTGTGTGGGGTCTCTGTTTAAAGGAACCACTCTGATTGTTGGCCCCTTTTTGGGTTCTAATAAAGTGAGGAGTTTTCTTAACTGCTCCCGAATTTTCATACTGCGTCTGGGGATTTTTCCAACCTGCTTGTCGTTGGTTGTTCTGCTTATGTGTTTTCTCCTCATGATGTCGGGCGAAAGTGGCCGCAAAAGCACTTCTTTCGTTGCTCGATTCAGCTTCCTGTGCTAATGCTAAAGCTGATGGCAATTCCCGAGGTTGTGCCGGAAAAACGGCTATTTTTAGGGATTTTTTTAACCCAGATATGAACGCACGTAAAGCGTCATTTCTGTGCTGCTCATTTAAGATGGCAGCTGCGGTTGCGTCATGGGTCATTATTGTGTTGTTTGTTAGAAGCGTTAGCTTCCGTTCTATTTCATCATAGAATTTGAGCAGTGGTAGCTCTCCCTGTCTTGACAGACTTAATTCTTGGTTGATAACGTGCGTCGCAGTTTTGTCCGCGTACGTGAAATCTAGCTGTGCCAGTATGGCATGAAAATTTAATACTGTATTGAAGGAGGAGAGCACTGCGGCTGCTGATCCTCTCACTTTATTTTTTAGAATACCGACGGCTTGGTAGTGTCGACTACTACCGTCGCATTGTTCATATATCTTATAGGCTGCGGTGGCAGCTTGCCTCCAGGAGATATAATTTTCCTGGCTACCATCAAATTCTGGAACCGACTTGACCATATCAAGGGGTTCGTTGCACTGTATCTCAGGTTTCAATTCGATTTCCTGATAAGTTTGAATTTGTGGGGTGCTATCTTTTGTTTTGAGTGATTTTAACTCCCCTATAACTGCAGCTAATTTTTTATCAAATAGTTCCTGTTGTTTTTGGAGTGCGCTAGTTATAGCGGCCTCAATGCTTGCAATCTGTTCTGGCTGCATTGTAAGCGGATGTGGGCTTGTAGTGTTAAAAATACTAGGTCGAATAAATGCCCCCTTGCTAGTGGATGGCTGGTAAGAAGTCTCAGTTTCTTGTTCTTGGTGAGTTTTCTGAAGTTGCATTTTTGTGTCCAAAAGTTTCCTATACTCTGCAATAACCTCGTCGTCTGACTCGGGTTCTTTATGGTTTCGGTACATGGGGCCGTTACTTAATTTTTTTTTTTAAAAATTAGTCCATGGGCAGTCGGAAATTTTATTTATAAATTTACTAAATAAATATATTTATGTTTAATATGTTTTCTTTGGAACTCCCAGAAAAATTCAAGTAAGAGCTTTTTACTTTATTTAAATATTGTTGAAATAAAATTTAATTTTTAAAAGTTTTTATTTTCGAGAGAAATAAAATTTTTTTAATTTAATTCGTAGGTTTTTACTTTCGAGAAAGAGAAATTTTACTCGAAATTGCAAAGAGAGGGAATTCTTATTGTTCCCACAGTTAGATGTCGCGGATTTATTTTATTTATTTGGCGATAATTCCAGACAAAAAGCCTACTCACATTTCGTATGGTTTGGTTGTTGTTGTGGCCGTCGCTGCCGCCGTCGCTGCTGCTGCCGTCGTCGTTGCCGCCGCCGTCGTCGCTGCCGCTGTTATCGCCGCCGATGCTGTCGCTGCCGCTGTTGTCACTGTCGCTGTCTTTGCTTTGTTTTTATTTTTGTAAGGTTCGCAAGTTTTTGGTTTTTTTTTTGTTGAAGGGTGGGGAATTTTTGATGTTCCCTGTTGTTTTTTCTTTTGATGTATGTTTTCTTTGGCGTATTTTTTCTGCCACTTTGAGCACTGTACTTTCGTAAGTTCGTAACTTTTTCGTTATTTTTTTGTTGAAGGGTGGGGAATTTTTGGTGTTCCCCGATATTTTTTCTTTGGCGTATTTTTTCTGCCAATTTGAGCACTGCACTTTTGTGTGTTCTTTTTTTTATTATTACTTAATTGTTTAATTAATTATCACTACCGATTGCAATTACTTGTGTAAATGCATTAAACTTCGTATCGCGTGAGTCGGTTACGTTGGGCGCCAGTTAATTTAGTGTAACCTCTATTGTATTATTTCTTACTTTCACTCAAGCCCGTTGGGGCAAAGATTCATTTATAAGAGATTGGGTTTATTAAGTTTCTTTCATTTATTTCACCTAAACCTGTTAAGGTAAAGGATAATATAAACAATGTGTTACAATTATTTATTACACAGCTACGGCTGCGGAGTATGATTTAAAACTGAACTAAATGTCCGATCCGGCTGCAGCTAGAAGTCTTCGTCCGGTCGAAGCGCTGTCGCCAAAGTGCCGGATCAGCAATTTTATCCAGGTGCTTACGATCACTCGCTGCGCGAGAGATCTGGCCGGGAACCGTGGGATTGCCCCCATAGTGCAGAGTCGGCGGTTTCTTCGTTACGCATGTTGACCACTTCCCGGTGATTGTCCCCGGAGTGCAGAGTCGGCAGTTTCCCTATTCCGTGTGTTGGCCACCGGATGTGGCCCGCAACTCGGCAGTTTCCCAATTTGGGAACTGGGTGTGTTAACTTACATGCTTAGTATCGATATTCAAGCTCTTCTTTTTCTTAAGATGTCAGTGGTTTTTGCCGTGTTTCAGCACCTTGAGGAAGTGCAGTCACCGTTTATTGGTATAATAATATAGACGAATAGAAGATCTAGTTTTTTGATAGCAATATGTCCAAGATGATTGTGGAGAGCCAAATATAGAGGGGGTAAAGTATGGTTGCGGTCTTGGTTGCGATTTGAGCATCTATTACGGCCTCTGATCCGTCGAGACCACACAGCAACAAGATAATTTGTCTTAAAAGCAGTTGACAAAATATGTATCATGTTTCGTTGACACCAAGGATTAATAATAGTCAGTTTCGATCTAGCGTCGCTTTTTATCGGTTATATTTATTTTCTGCTCTGTAGTAAAAGTACCAGTGTTTCTATTTTAGCAAATCTTGCCCTACTATCTTGCTTGCTTATATTCATTTATTTTTCTGAATTATGTTTTTTGTTTATATTTTTAAATAGTGTAATTCATTTTTATGTAACTCTAAATTATTGCAGTTTTCCTCTCTCCCAATATTTCTAAAGAGGATTTAACTGTTTTTATGTTCTAAAAGCAATGTTTAGTGATCTCCTGCGCTCATATATTTGCAACTGTTGAACTGGTTTATTGTCTCTGTTATACACGCCACGCTGAAACCATCATAGGAAAGAATATACCCTTTTACTCTAGAAGTAACGGGTATTCATTAAAAAGTATGTAATTTATTTTGTAAAAGTGGTAGAGGGGGTCCCTCTCTGCCGGGGTTTCTCGAACGATGTACCTTCGATTTATCTAAACCTTTAAACATATATGCATTGTCGGGAAACCGACTTCGCTTCCACGAAGAGCCTCGACAAATGCAAGTACGCACAGTTTTATCAGGTGAATCAAGAATCACCAAGGAAAATAAGATTGTTACTCCTTAACTTATATTCTCATATATATATATATATAAATAACCGAGTTGTTTTTTCCTTGTTCTATACGTATGATCTCAAACGTCCAAGAATGTCCACTATAACGGCCGCATAACAACACATAACTAAAAACCAATAACTTAGCATATAGTAAAGATGTCATCACATCTTAGGGTTGTTTTATTCCGGCATCCTAAAGCTTATTATTTTAAAATGTAATGGATACTCAGGTTATAAGGCCTTCCACAGCCAAGAATGTCACCGTTAATAAATATACGTTACATGATTCTATTAATCACAGCTCTTTTTGAAAACCATATGCTTAATCCGAAATATCAATCACTTATAGTTATCGAGATCTCAGCGTTCTGAAAGAAAAGGAAAAAGAGGAAACTGTTTTTCGAGCTTGGGAGGCGTTAGAGTGGCCTTAACCGAATAATGGTACCACCATTAGATACGCTGGCATCTAAAGATGCTTATTCCCAACGTACCAGCTCTTATTAAGCTGGGATAAAATCTTTGATTTAAGAGGTCTGTCTCCTGAGGTCTAGTCTCGGCGTCCTTGGCTCTTGATCCTTATCAAGATTATATATACTTTATATGGATTGAAACATTTCCTAACCCTAATTATATTATCTTTTGGGGACTTATTTTGTATTAATAGTTTGTTTTTAAAACTAATTTATTTTTTCAGTCCAGCCGAAACCAGTCTCCTTATTAAAATATTAGGAAAGGGTCTGGTAAATACGAAGTTATCGCTCGACATTCAACAAAAAAATCCGAATTCGCCATTACATTCTGTTAAAACCTTTGAGGCTTTACACCTGTAAGTAAGAAAATAAATAATCGCCTATACAAACTAAAATAAATTTTTAATAATTATTTATTTTAATTAAAATGTTATAGAAAATCGTCTCTTTTAAAAGGAATATACGCAATGGGATTTAATACGCCATCGAAAATTCAAGAAACAGCCTTGCCAACTCTTCTTGCGGATCCACCACAAAATATGATAGCACAAAGTCAGTCGGGAACAGGAAAAACAGCAGCATTTGTTTTGGCCATGCTTAGTCGTGTGAACGTTAGCTTAAATCATCCTCAGGTATATAGCTTTGTAAAAACATAGATATCGGTAAAACTATAGTTAAATAAATGGCACTGCAGCTTAGGTTTGTCATAATTATCTTGAGCTAAGAAGGCACCCCCAGAATCTGAATACTTCAAGTTTTTAAGATTTCGGCGTTTCTTTGTTTTCCGCGGTTTGTGGGCGTTAGATGCGCTGACATTTTAAATACAACAATACAACATTCTAGCTCTAATATTCAGCGATTTTAGTTATCCGTGATTTGTGGGCGTTTGATTGGGCGAGGCTGGATCTTGAGATAAACTTGTGCTGCTTTTAGACCTCCATACTCTCCATCGAATGTAATATACCATTTTACTCTTCGAGTAACGGGTATAAAAACGTTATTGTCGAGAGCGACTATAAGATACCCGTTACTGTTTTATAAATTTTTCCGGGTTTTCCGGAAAAAAGCGTAAGGGCGTGGCCGGATAATGGTACCACCATAATATGCGCTGGCATCTCAAGATTATACTTACCTAATCCCAACATTAAACATCTAATAGTTTCTGAGACTTCAGCGGTTTCAGATTTTAGTGATTTATGGGCGTTAGAGTAGAGAGCATGCCAATGTTCTACCATTATCTGGCAACCCTTACTAGAAAGTTGGGATTAAGCGTGTAGTTTCTAATGATGCCTCAAACGCCCCGTCTACTGTAACGCCCATAAAACCCAAAAACTCTACAATCTCGAAAATTATACGAGCAAGAAAACAGGAACTGGCATATGTTATATAATATAATCATTTCGCATTTTTCGCGATTTATTAAGGAATGTATGATACAGGGCAGTGACTTCACCATCAGGTAGTAATCATGCTTTTTCTGCTTTTTTTTTATAAAAAAAAATATTTTCAAACAAGATGTTATAGGCTGAGGTAGGAGGTGTTCACTGGATTAGATGGAGTGCCCAGAGGAGCGGCAGTGTGGACGGACGATCGAGCAAGGATGATGCGGCTGCTTCACGGGAGTGGGGATGTTGCGGGACGGATGAGGTAGTCTGATAAGTGCCGATAGTCAATCGGTCAGTTTGAATTGTATTCGCGGCTTACACTTTGTTTATATCTGGCCTCACTAATTGTGGTCTAAAACTACGTTAAGTTTGGTACCAGACACTCCATAGAAATAAGGAGCAGATACTTCGGTAGGTCAAATATATATTAAGTTGAGGGTATTTCTAAGTTATTTTTCCCAAACAGAATTAAACATTCATGTACACACGATTTGTCTAGTGTTGGTTACAAGATCTGGTATTGCTTGTTTTGGTGAAGTGCCAAGTGTTAGAGGCAACTCTTGGGATTTAAATCGGCGTCACTGACAATAGATGGCGGTTTGTAATTTCTACTAGCAAAATGAATATTTTAAAATTGTGTAAAACAGTAACGTGTATTTTATAGTTGGGGCTCTCGACTATAGCGTTTCTTCTTGCCTTAAATCGGAACATTATTTCTCTATTTATTAAGAAATGTAGCATGCAAGGATTTAAATGGGCAGTGACTTCACCCTCACGCACTAATCATGCTATTCCTGACAAAAGCTGGCGCTTTGTCATCGACTATAGCGTTTCTGCTTATTTTATAAAAAAAAATTATCAAAAAAGATATTATACATATATAATGGAACCGCAATAAGATGCACTGGTATTTTAAAAATATGCATGATTAATTCTAACTTTTAGTTTCCGAGATCTGAATGTTTTTTATTATTATACCCGTTACTCGTAGAGTAAAAGGGTATACTAGATTCGTTGAAAAGTATGTAATAGATAGAAGGAAGCTTTTGCGACCCTATAAAGTATATATATTCTTGATCAGGATCAATAGCGAAGTCGATTGAGCCATGTCCGTCTGTCCGTCCGTCCATCCGTCCGTCCGTCCGTCCGTCCGTCCATCCGTCCGTCCGTCCGTCCGTCCGTCCGTCCGTCCGTATGAACGCTGAGATCTCAGGAACTATAGCAGATACAAAGCTGAGATTAGGCATGAAGATTCTTGAGGTCCCGGGACAGCGCAAGTTTATTACAGCATCCTGCCACGCCCACTCTGACGCCCACAAATCGCAAAAAACTAAAATTGCTGAAATCTCAGGAACTATTGCAGATAGAAAGTTGAAATTCAGAAAGTATAATCTTTAGATGACAGCGCATCTTATAGTGGTACTACTATCCGGCCACACCCACCCATACGCCCACAAGGCTCAAAAGACGGTTTTCGGATTTTCTAGAAAAGCTGATATCTCGGTAACTATAAGAGATAGAAAGATAGAAAGTTGAAATTCAGAAAGTATAATCTTTAGATGACAGCGCATCTTATAGTGGTACTACTATCCGGCCACACCCACCCATACGCCCACAAGGCTCAAAAGACGGTTTTCGGATTTTCTAGAAAAGCTGATATCTCGGTAACTATAAGAGATAGAAAGTTCGGATCAAGCATGTATGTTTCTATGATGCTCCCAATGCGAATTGATTTTTTCCGATAACGCCACGCCCACTCTAACGCCCACAAAACCCGAAAAACCAAAAATGCAAAAATCTCGAAAACTATAAAAGCTACACAATTTTGCTTAGGAATACGTATTTAGGAGTTGCCTCTGCAACTTGCCACGAAGTTTCATCCGGCCACGCCCACTCTAACGCCCACAAACCGCGGAAAACTGTGGAGTCTATAATATTATTATGAATGCTTTCGTTTGACCTTGTGTAACTTATTTCTGTTAATATCTATCGATTTACAAAAGATTTTTCAAATCGGAACATTATTTCGCTATTTATGAAGAAATTAAGGTTATAAGGCTCCACATGGGCAGTGACGTCACTATAAGCATACTCAACATACTTCCTCTGACAATAGGTGGCGCCTTGTGAATTTCCACTAGCAAAATTAATATTTTAAAATTGTGTAAAACAGTAACGGGTATCTTATAGTCGCGGCACTCGACTATAGCGTTTCCTCTTGTTTGGTATTGTGGACGTTCGACTAGACGTGGCCGCCTTTCTATTCCTTTTATTTCCTGAGTTCGCCATTCACACTGGCAGATAGATAGACTTACATGGCAAAAAAAAATTTATATTTTTAAATTTGGAATATATTTAAATAAAAACGCGATTATTATTTTAATATTCAGCGGAGTTCTTTCTTCGCGCGACTCCCGTTGCTTGAACCGATCTCCCGCCGAACCGACCGAGCAGCGCAGAATTCTGACGTACAGCGCGGAACACGGGGATAGGTCCGAGTGAATAGGGAAAAAAAGTTCGTTTTGTGCTATAGATTAGTAAGGGAACTTTCAAGGTAGTGGGGGAAGAGTTCGAACTACAATGCTCTAAATACAGGGGAATATACTTTCAAGTGAGCCTAAGGGGTATGTGGATATTTAGACGACCTGAAAGTTCCTTGCTATTAACCTCACCCTTAAGAAGTCTATGGATAAAGACGACACCAAGAATCGTCCTACGATTAGTAAGGGATTACAAATTTATTAGTAAGAGTCTACTTTTATAATAGGAAAGGTGTAGTTTTGTATCCCAGTTTAGGCCACGGAGAGCAAATATTAAGAAATTCTTTTGGATAGATTCAATGAGACACTGGTGAACCCCATACTTGGGATCCCAGAGGGTCATCGAATGAATTAAAGAAACGAAAAGTGTTTTTGTGTCATTAGGGGTCATTGAATTCCTTTGACCACCTTTTAATGAAACCAAGCACACCTCCAGTTTTATTAACTATAGAGAATATGTGGTCGGAATACTTAAGTTTTGCATCGAGTAAGATGCTAAGATGATTCGACTGCCTTAATTCTTTCCAGAGCTACACCGTCCAGGGTATAAGTGTCAAGCTGAGGATTAAGGCGACAAAACGTCATAGCTTTGCACTTAGAGCCGTGAAGTATTAATAAAATTGTTCAGATCGGAGTGTAGTTTCACCTGCTAAGAGGCATCGGTATATTTGCGGACAAAGTTTAACATCATCTACCTATATAAGCACTAAAGATTCATTAATAGTCAGAGATGGTCATAAATGAATAATGTGAAAAGTTACGGAACAAAAAGCCTATACCAAAGCTGACACGGCATTTTTAAAAAGAATTTGTTTTCTCCTTCAAGAGAGGTCATTTAATCCAACGCAATTCAACAAGATCAAGTTTTCACAAGAGAAGGGAATGATTTAACACCTCCTTAATGCTTTACTAAAGTCAGTGTAATGACGTTCGTCTGAAGTTTTTATAAACCAGAGGAAACGCTATAGTCGATTATAAGATACCCTTTACTGTTTACTGCACAATTTTACAATATTCATTTTGATAGTTGAAATCCGCAAGCACCACCTATTGTCGGAGAAATCATGGTGAGTAACTGATAGTGACGTCACTGTCCATGTGAGGCCTTATAACTTAAATTTCTTCATAAATAGCGAAATAATGTTCCGATTTGAAAAATCTTTAATAAGCCGCGGAAAACTATGGCGTCTATAATATTATTATGAATGCCTTCGTTTGACCTTGTATTACTTATTTGTGTCAATATCTATCGATTTATTAGATTCTCCGTTTTCCCTGGTTTTGGTATCATCGTTATTACAGCACACTTCCATTGGGAGGGGAAGTGGTGGATACGTAACATTGAGTTGAAAAGGAGCATAGGGAACAAGACCCCCTTTATAAGCAAAGCCTTAGCACTTTCTTAAGTTCATCTTCAGCAAGTCAATAAGCTCTTTTGTCAACTGGATCCTGGGACCTCATATATCTTCGACGAAGTGATCTTTTTAGCCTCCATAACCTTAGGTTTTAAAAGAGTCTAAGGTGGATTGGAAGGGTTTAAGGCAGTGTTGCCAATTATTCTGCTCGTAAAATAGCTTAAGTAACATACATATGAAAAACGCAAGAAACCGCCAGAAAATTAGAATGATAGCCAAAATATAGGAAAACAATATTTTTATTAATTTTATTTATATCAAGCTACGTTAGGAAAACAATATTTTTATTAAT